CACGCCCGGTCTGCTAACCCCACTACTACCACCACCACTATGGCGTCCACGCCGTTCTAACCCCCTATCATCACGTCACCACCATCATCACCACCATCACCATCGTCATCATCATCATTACCACCACCACTACCACCAGCATCTTCACCATCATCACCACCTCCACCACCATCATCATCATCACCATCATCACCATCACCATCACCATCACCATCATCATCATCATCATCATCATCATCATCATCATCATCATCATCATCATCATCATCATCATCATCATCATCATCAAAAGCAAAAGCAAAAGCAAAGTCAGTAGGAACAAGAGGAACAACAACAACAACAACAGCGACAGAACCAGCATTTACTGTAGAGAATAGAGTAAAATAAAACCAGAAGTCTTGATTTAACCCTGTTTACTTCCGGCCGTACGAGGTTAAAACTGAATAAAAACAAATGCTTCGATTTAATTTTCTCAGATCTTTGCACTCGGGTCTAAAAGCGGGGTGTCCAACAGAGTCTAAAACTAAAAGCCTTTTCATGAAGGTAACTGAAAACAAAGGATCCGACACGTTTTATTTGATGTTAGCCTGTCGTGGGTTGAAAAAAAATAACATGGTGATTTACAGCACACATGCATCTACATTTTTAAAACTTGACGTATTTTCACCAACACCCACATTTTTACGTGCACCCAAAGGAACACAATCCAACAGACGGGCGAGTACTTTTTGTGGCTCAAGTGGAGATGTCTTGACAGCCGTGGGATAAAATCTTCAAGCTTACACGGAAATGTGAGTGTAGGGTAGTGTCGCTGACTCCAAATGAGCAATTTCAAGGTTAGCTTACTGTAAATACTTAATTTTAGTGATCCTGTGTGTGCATACATAGGGTGCTTTTTAATATAGGGCCCAAATAGAAACACTTTTTACAACTGGATCGAGACATTTTTTTAAAAATGTTGGTTGCTGGTCTTCCAAAAGTGCCACGCAAAGTTTCGTGGGTATATTTAAAGTAATTAGTGAGCTAGAATATTCTCTCAATGCGGATAGACGAAAGTGAAGAAATTATAATATTATTTACAGGATGCTTCGCTAACTTATAGCCTGTTATAGGAAAGCTGGTTTTACTAATAAGTAAACTTCGCGTGGAACAACAGCAAGCTTAATCAAGGTGCCAAACATGAGATACTGAAATGGGCTCATTATCATGGTCATACCGACCTGCCTGGGTTTTTAACTTCCTCAAGAAGTGAAGTCACAATCTGCCTGAAAAGAGAAAACAAAAAAAGAGAGAGATTGGTTAACAGTCAAAGCTAATAAGTATTGGTTACAATTACAGATTGCACGTGAATGAAGCAGGTGCAGATACGACAAAAATGAACCCGCATGAACAAGCAAACTGGCAGGTAAGTGCATTCTCGCTGACATGGATGACATCAATATCATTAACTATCTAAAACGTTTTTGGTGTTTGCTTGTTTTTTGTAGCACACGTACCATAAGGGTTGGATACTTTGTAAGGGAGTTTTCCAAAAAATATCCAAAGAGCTTATCGATTACGCAGTCAAGCGGTGCAATAAGCGAGTCTCCGTCCAAGTGCATTTAGTGAAATCATAGACTTTGTCTCTGAAGTTCTGGCAGTTCAACCGCTCTTTTAGTCTTTTTCAGCACTAGTTTGTTTATCATTTTACATGCATATATTGACTTGCTTTGATTTCAATCAGCAATATTATTTATTAGGTATTTATCCTGTCTTTTCGACTTCTAGAACATACTCTAAAGTAGAATGTACTTGTAGTGACTACAGTGTTTGCTTATGAATAATTAATCATTTATCGACTGACATTTGCATAAAACTTCTCTATACATGAAGTATTATTCTTTATGAGGCATTCATTCATTGATTCACTATTTATTGATTTCGTCATCCAACATGATACAAGCTTACACAGGCTAATTCAGGCAGACCATAATGAAACCGCTTACCAGAATTTTGTACTTAACATTTCTGAATGATGTGAACATCATAAGCTGTATTTAAATTTGAAAAAAAAAGAAGTTGATTTTAGAAAAAAGAAACGTCCCTTGCAGCCACTCGAAATTAAATGTGAAAACATCGAGCAAGTGTCAGACTATAAGTATTCTATAAGCAGGGGCGAAGCGTCTATATAATCAAATAATCACTGCTTCCTTTCCTAATTTTGAAACGTTGTAGCAGTCAAATTCACCCATAAACGTAAACCTTATAAAGTAAATGTAAAAAGACGTTCATAATCAACAATGAACAGTATGCCTAACATTCAAAACGGTTTCACTGCCACAGAAATAGCCTGCTAACCCCTCTCCGGCCACTCCATAAGCAGTCACAAGCTTTGATTAAATAAGCTTAAAGTGGGGCTGGAAGAGTCTACCAATAGAGTTGAAGGGAATACGTGCATAGCAATCCATACAGTTTCATTGCCACATATACCCTGTTCACCCCTTTCGGGCCACAAATATAATCAGTCGTAAGCCCTGATTATGTAAGTGAACTATTACACTGGTCGAGTCTACCTTACAGGTGTGAGGGGAATTAACTCCTAATAATATCTTTACTGCTGCGAGTGCTTGATTTTTTATCCTCGACTTTTTAACGTCCTATAATCAGATCGTGACCTCGATTATGACACCGGCTCCTGGCCGCGAAAAGCTAGACAAAAAACAGCCAAAAGTGAAATTTAAAAAAAAAATAATTGTCATGTTCTACCAAAGAGTTAGACTCCCTGGTAGATTTATAACATATTATAGATCTAGTACTGGCATCTCTGCTTCTTGCTTTGGGTTTGTGTATTTACTTCTAAAGTTAAATTTAATTTTAGTTGGAATTGATATTTAATTAGATACTTTCCCGATTATTTTGGCGGTTGAATTCCGGATTTGTTTTCATTCACACAACTTAAGAGTAAGATTCTTGTGTGATATCTCCAGGCCATAATATCTGGTTCCGTACCGTTTCACTTTGATTACCCTGTCAAACAAGTCAGCCTTCGCCACTGTCTATAAGTATTTGGGTGTTACAATAGACAACAAACTCAACTGGCGTGTCCACACTTCTCTCCTGCATAAAAAAAGTGAACAAAAGACTATTTTTTCTAAGGAAGCTAAAGTATTTTAAAGTTGATAAAGCATTGATGTCCATGTTCTACCATTCAACCATAGACAGTATGATCAATTTTTGTATAACAGCATGGGCCAGGAACACAAGACAACAAGATAAAACAAATTATATCGACTAATGCGGAAAGCTTGTAAAAATTCAACATCTACATTTCCCTACTTGGATGAATTGTACATAACAGCTTGCACTTTGAAAAATTAATTCCATCTTTTTAGACAACAAACATCCCTTGTTCCCTCACATTAAAAACATCAGTCAAAAGTAAAAGATCAAGGCTCTGATCTGTAACAAAGAAAGATATAGAAGGTCATTTTTACCATCATCTATCAAAATGCTTCCATCTTAACCATCTTGTATAAGTATACTTACGACCTTAGAGCATGCATCAGAATAACATTGAGTGTGTAACTAGGTTACGATTATTATTGTTTATATTGCTGCTCATTTATATTTTGCATGTGATTGTAAGCCTACGTGTGTGTGTATATATGTGTGTGTGTGTGTGTGTGTGTGTGTGTGTGTAAGTGTGTGTGTGTGTGTGTGTGTGTGTGTGTGTGTGTGTGTGTGTGTGTGTGAATGTGTGTGTGTGTGCTACACGTGGTGAAACACCAAACCAATGTGCCAGAATCTGGACAATAAAGATGTATCTTATCTTATTTTATCTTATACGCCCTTCAACGGAATCCAGAATTAAGTTAATGAGAGATTGTGACTTATGTGTTGATACTTTTATTAAATAGCCAAATTAAAGACCATAAGAAAGTAGTTTAAATACTTTTACCGTCGTAAATAATACGGTCAAGTTTTTTTTACAACCTCTCAGCCTTCTTTGGAAAAGTGGCGGAATATTGAATGACAACCGTAGCCCAGGAAGTTACAGGAATTTTTTTTTCAACTTTGATCACAGTTTAGGGTAATATAAGGCCGTGGACCATTATTTTTTACGTCTTATCTTTCACTCCAGGCAAACGAGTATTCATTTCACTGACCAGCCTCCATATGAGAAGACAGTGTAGAACAAGGCCAGTGCTACCTCTCCTGGGTCTGAACTTGTGCCTTCAAACATATTGTTCATTCGGTTAATCGCATCTGTGTCTCCTAAACGGGAAATAAAAGAACAATGATGTTAAGAAAAGACACAAGTGGCGGTATGGATATTTTAACAATAAAACACAACAATACACAAAGTTAACGCCAGAGGATAGGAATTTGTCTTTGACCACCCACCCCAATCCCCACCCATCCATGCCCTACCTCTAATCCCGTTCCTTCTACAATCAATCTACGATTCAATACGAGTGTACTCTGAAGAAAAATATCTTTAAATGATAAGTAAACAGAATCTGTGTAAAGCAAACTCCCGTTCAACTGTAAGCCGTATGCACTTCACAGTCTATATTATTATTTTCCCAGCTAATAGTATGTTGGTCTTTTTTTTCTGGGACGGTGTTTCCATCTCACCCCTGGTTGGTTTTGAAATTCAGAGTTGAAGCCTGCCTCCTACTTAATATAATCTGTGTCGATAGAAGTTTAAAATGCCTACATGCAAAATAATGCATCAAAATGAAGACATGATAGCATTCTACAACAACCTCGACTTCCTGGGAAGCATACAATGCAAGCTACCATTTTACCGGCGCTAACACTGCCAAGCTATTTCGCTAAAAGTTTTGTAAGCTTACTGGACCTACATGTATTTCCAAGCGCGGCATAAGATAACACAGGGTGATTCCCACCGCCCACCAGAATAACCAAATCGCTCACTAGTGGACATGCCTATCCTATTGGCAAGCATTGAACTATAACCAACCACTCACCAGACGCCAGCTGATAGATTCCCGCTCCGATGACGATTCCCAGGGCTATGATCTTCGAAGCGCTCAGTAAGGTCTGCACACGCTGGACATACTTCACATACGCGCAGTTCAAGGCGACCACGAGAACTGGAGGTCAAGAAGGCGTAAAGTCGGGAATAAAAGAATAGCATATATTATTAAGTGTTGCGTCTTGATGAAATCAGAAGGTCATCAAAATAACGATATTCTATAGAAAAACTACACTTTTTCCCTCTTTGAGCAATTTTTATAGGGTTTTTTTCATTATTGGGGGAGGGGGGGGGGTAGCTCCATATCTTTAATGTCTATTTAAAAGCATAACTATGTGTGGGTCTTACTAAACAACGCTGATCAAAGACACAGAAATATACATTTGAGGTTTTCGATTACACTAAAGCTTTGGTAGTCACAAACTGTGGCGGCCATTTTCTATTTTGCCTTTGACGCCAGACGATATCCAACTCTTTCAATTGCACATATCTCAACTACCATTCAAGATAGATGGATAACTTAGCAGCAAAATCAAGACAATTGAACAAGATTTGAGAAAATACCATTAACTCTACATGCCCAAGAACTGACGAGCGCCTGATTCCACTGAGTCGTGACATTGTTAGAGTTTTAGCTTACAGTAAATGGACAATGCAAAAATGGCTGGAGAGGTTTGTAGAATTCTATACCTTCTGAGTTTAAAAAACTCTCTTCGGTGGAGCATCTTCCAAACAGCCATGGATATAAAACGTGGAACGTTTATAGCCTGCAAGAAATTCTTTATTTTTAGCGAAGTAGAAAGACGTCGGCACATTGAAGCTGAGTTCTGAGAATCCCCAGGTGCACTCGTACTTTAATGTAAATGGGTCTGAGTGTGTATATTATTATTGACATTACACACATGAACACACCACACGTTGTATTTTTAGTTTTATAGGGCACAGTCGTGGATTGTTCTTTTTTGTTTTGATTTTTGTGAATGGATCGTAAAATTTCGAGATGGAATATGCAGTAAATTAGAACAACATCGTGATGTAAGATCGTTTAAACACGTATAGCTCATTGCTGCAACTTTGTAATGGATACGAACTTTAACAGGGAGACAGTGCAGCTGTAAAAGCAAAACAAGATGATAAATCCCATCAAATGGTGTCACCAAAAGACTTTGGGTTACATATCATTATTCCAGCCTTTTCTTTCATTGCTTAATGACAAATAACAAAGGTATGTTGCATTTATCTAAGCAACCCTTTTAAAAACTTAAGATGAATAACAATTACATTGCTTGAGGAAAATCTATAGTCACCATAACAGTGCCAATAAAAAAAAATTCTGCGAGATCTCTACCATCCCAGTTTTGTTTCCTATTGAACACCACACTGGGAGGAAAAGAGAGACCGTCCTGGTGCTCCATTAGCGACCTGTAATGAGTGCTGTTCGCACACACAAACTCCCACTCCCCCCTTCCCTCTCCCCAACCCCTAACTCTGTCTGTCTGTCTGTCTGTCTGTCTGTCTGTCTGTCTGTCTGTCTGTCTGTCT